ATTCTTTTAGTTGTATCGATTTCTCTATCTAAAATATTTGGGATTTCAAAATTCATTTTATGATCCTCCGAATAAACATGAATGTATTTAGAAATTATCTTTCCATATTCCATTCATCAAACGTTTTATAGATGATTTGATTCTGACCATACCTGCAGATGGAAAAAAAGAAATTTTTAGTGCATTCAATTCATATGATCTCAATATCCAGTTCATTATTGAAGATAAAATAAACAAGTCCATTCCTTTCCTTAATATGAAGTTACTGAGATCAGAACAAAATATTAGCATCACTGAATGGTACAGAAAACCAACATCAAGTAATAGATTCATTTATTACCATTCCTTTCATCCAAATAAAATTAAAATTAATTTAATAAAATCATTAAAAAATAGAATCATCAAAATTACCCATCCCGATTTACGAAACTAAAGTTTGTCTAATTTTAGTAAAATTCTGATCCAAAATTCTTATCCTAAATCTTTAGTAAACAGAATTTTATTTTATCAAAGGACAAACTTTCAAAATAATGAAGAAATTGAACACAACAACGTTATACCTTCACTCATATATAAATCGCTCCCATATATTCAAGAATTGACACCAAAATTAATTAATGTATTCCGAAATAATACCCTCAAAATATCCAAAACAAATATCACTACTATATCTAAATCATAAAGTAAACTAAAAACACCAATTTAAAATAAACAAAAATCCAATTTGGTATACAAAATTTCTTGTGTGGATTGTTCTAAAACATATATAGGACAAACATCTAGACCTCTAAGTAGTCGCATCACTTCCCATAAGAGCGACTGTAGACGAAATGGTAATTCGGAGGATCATGAAATGAGTTTTGAAAACCCAAATATTTTAGAGAAATCAATACGACTGAAAGAATATATTTGGAAATGATACATATCAATAACATAGAACATTCAATGAATAAAAGAACTGATATTGATAGTCTCAGCAAAATTCACACATGCCTACTGAAAGATCTAGTAATTCGAGTATTATTCAGAATTTTCCCGCTTGTCATCATTTCATGTTTTTCCATATGTTCTTGAACCATATTTATAT